GCGACAAAGTCGAACACACTTGCGTTCTTTTAGATCTCACCAATAGAAATTATATGCTTGCTTCATTCAACGATTTTTATACCAAAAAAATGCCAAACAGTGATAAAAAATTTAATTGATTTAGAAGTAAATTTATCAACAGTCAAACTGAGAATAGAAAATTATTTAAAGCGAAACAGATAAATACAAAATATTTGTTATGGATTGTAGAAATTTTGAGCAGTTGGAAAATTGATTTATGAAATTTATATTATTATTTACATGAAAGGAAAGAATCAATAATTTTTCATGTTCTCTCTCAAAAATGTGTGATAAAAATCAAATTGAATTATATTATATTTATTTAACACCAACGGTGTTTGGTGCAGTTATTATTATTATTATTAATGTAGTGGCTCATGAACGTAAATATTGTATGGGAGGTATCCCTAATATGTATTGAAATTTCTTTAAACTCTCGGAATGTGGAAAAAACACCATTTGCAAAGTTTCACGTCATTACGCTACCACAAATTTTTTTTGTGAATTTTCAAATGAAAAGTCTGTGAAAAATTGATTGCATCTTAAAACTAACGTCAGATTCGAGTCCAACCGATCAACCAATGTTGCTGAAAATTTGACCAAATCTATTCGTTGTAGTCCCAAATCATCCCATAAAGTCAGATTTTGAATTTCATGTCTGAGCAGGATACCATAACGTCACCAAATGGTTAGAAAATGGTCAAAAAATGTATGGATGTGGGTACTCCATTCAGACCAAAAATTACACCGGTCATCAGATATTGCTCAAAAACTAATCAGCACGTCTCTTAACAGTATCGTCCCCATCCTGCAAAGTCAGAATTTGAATTGAGTTTTTGGAAGGAGACTTATCCCAGTAACAAAAAATGTGTCGATTTTTCTCTTATTTAGAGCCTCCATTTTACACACATTATTCAATATCGATGAAAATTGAACCAGATGTAGATACGTAGCCTCGAATCATGTAGTATAGTCAGATTTTGATTATCGTCTCTCGGGTAAATGTTATCGTGGAAAAACCAAAATTTTCAATGGATACCCCTATGGGTATACACTTTACACCGGTTAACCAATTTCGCTCAAAATTTGACCAGATCTACTCCTCGAAATCCCCAATCCTCCAGTAAAATCAGATTTTGAAAATTTGTGTGTGTGATGAGCTATAATGCAAAATATGGACATTTTGGCAACACGCCACAGGACACACCGCACATGCTACTCAGCGAGTAACATTAATATGGCCAAATATCGCCTCTTATCGAGTTTTCTACATGAAATATGCATAGAAAACATGTTTTGGGGTGACTTTAATTTTTTGACCTAATACAATATCTTTCCTGCACTAGGTGTGCGGAAAAGTAAAAATGTCGATTGGTGTAATGTTAATTCCGAAGTGACAGTTTTATTGAACTGTTGACTGTAATATAATGGGCAAAGAACGACTAATAATATTACATTTTTCAATGTTAAAATAATATTCAATTTTACTTTCTAATTAAAGCCTGAGCACGAAGAATGTATGGATTCATTGACTACATACGTACGCAGTCAACTACAGAGAGCAGCTACAGAGAAATTTGACATTCATGATATCGATTGTGAAATACAAATCCCATATTTATTTCTAACACCAAAAGAACTGGAAATCGATCTGAGGTAAAATACTTTATTTTTTTCTAAGACTTTCCTTTTATCGGAGATTATTTTTATTTATTATCCAGATTATTTTCGCGAAGTATAATGCGTAAGGTACCGTACATTATTTATCTCTGTTTATATAGGTCTGATTTGTTGTAATTTATTTATTGATTAAAAAAGGCCTTACCAATTCTTTTGAACATATTGGAACGTGAACGACGGGGGTGGTTTTTACATTTTCGAGAGCGTTTGATCTCGGAATTACGCGATAAAAAAATGACAGACACAGAGATTGAAGAAGAAGTAAATGCTGCAGTAATGCAAGAATATCTGCAACGAGTTTATAGTTCTGTACTTAAACACCCGGAATTAGCTGAATTAGGTGACAAAATTTCAAACTGCCTGGTTCAGCAGGCACAGTCGGTGGTCATTATGCAAAAAGCGTATGAACGTGTCGAAAGAGATATAAGGTTCTCAATAATCGAACAAAAAAATCATTTAGTGAATGAATATCCAGTTCTATCAAGAGTAAAACCATGGCTTAAAATGAAACTCAAAGCAGCTGAATTGCATAAACTCTCCAAATGCAAATGGTCTGTTCATGAAGAAGCTTTAAACATATCTCAAAAGCATAATCTTCAACAAACAGCATATTTTATATCACGGGATTTAACATTCATGCGGGAGAGAGAACCAGTTTTCGTCGAAGAATTACGAAAAATCAAGACACCGACCAGATGTTTCTGCTGGCCATGCCGAATCTGGTCACCAAAAAACTGGTAGGATTTTGTTTTCTTTTTTTCTTACATCAAGAGTGGATGAAATACATTTTATTGAGCTTGCAATAATTTATGGACATTCAACAAAGTTTGATCGTTCCCATCATTGGATCTACAAATTGTAGATTCTACTGTAGAATTTCTACATTAACAATTCAATCCAAAACAATAAAAAATCATAATTAACTCCAAAAAAACATACAAAAACTAACTTTCTCATCTAACGTAAAGCTGTTATTGATTTATTGCTTTTTGTCGACCAATTCGTTTTCTTCTTTCGATCAAAATTTGTTGGTCTGTCCGCATTTCGATATTCATAGATATTCTCTGTGAAATTTTAATTGTCTTGTGAGAGTGATGATCCAGATATGTAAAATTTCATTGATTATGCTCAACAAGAATTCAAATGTTGTGGCTGTTATTGAAACAATCTTATATTAAAAAAATGATTTTTTATCAATATTTATTGGATTTAATTTAACATTTTTTCCTTAATATTTTTTAGGATTGTTCGTCGAAACTTTCAGGGTTTCTCTGAAGTTATTCCAAATGTTATTTGTCAACAAGCCACTAGTATTGTTACACCAAGATCAGATCCAAGTCAACCAATCTTTCTTGTTGAAAAAGAAGTAATTCGAAAAAACAGTACTAGATGGCCATTTTGGCGCCTTTTGAATTTATTGCAACGAATATGGTGCTATGTATGGAATGCTATGTACTTGTTGGGTTTCGTAGTCCCATATGAGAGTCCAGTATCTATTCGCGCATTATTAAAAGTAAAGCCGATTATTTCCAATACTTTCATTATATAAGAGCGTTAGACCCAAAATAAATTATCCATCCCAAGTACTCAATTTGCACTGTCCACCCGGGGCATTCGCACCGTGCGTCAGCTACGAATACACACAACAGAATACGGAGCGGGACACGAAGAAAGTAGTGTATGTGTATATACGCTTCTTTCCTTGCGTCTCATTTGTTATTCAGCTTTTTCAGCTGTTTGCATGGCAAAGGCTGCTACGCTACATAAGAAAAAGATGAGAAACGGGAATAAAAAATAAGACGCAAGGCACGAAGTGATGCAATATGAACAGAGCAAATTGAGCTCTTGGGATGCTTTTTACTTTTCCGCACACACCGAAAACATGCGTTGATACGGTGCCTTTGGAGTGATTTCATGTTTAGTTTCTCCAGGCGAGTGTTGTACGATGATATCCTGTAGTCATTTGAAACACTTGGATAATCCTTGAGTGCAAACATTTAGAATTTTGTCCTTGTGTATATCATGGTACGGGAGCTATACTAAGCAGCCATACTCCAAGATTGATTGTACAGGAAGCACAGTATAATGACTTGAGAGTATTACAGGAATAACGTAGCAAAATCTTTTTACGAATTCGAGTGCTGATGTTGCTTTGGCCACGATTGAATCGATGTGTTTTATGGAATTGAGTTTGTTGTCAAAAATGACTCCCAAATCTCTTTGTTCGCTCATTCTCTTGAATTTGTGACTGCCATAGAGTAGGAACTAACGATTTGCTCTCTCTTCTTTGAAATTAACATAACAGGAGCATTTGTCAAGATTCAAATGAAGTTTGTTTGCTTCGCACCAATTTTCTTATTTATTGATTGAAACTTGAAGTTTGATACAGTCATTGGTGTTGGCGATTGAAGTTGCCAATTACAAATCGTTAGCAAACAGAGATATTAAAATGTCGCCATCCTTAATGGAATTAACAATGTCGTTAAAGAAAAGCAAAAATGGGGTGGGGCCCAAGTGACTTCCCTGAGAAACTCCTGAGTTTACCCTCTAACCGGCCAGTCTGAAGGCGAAAAAAAATTGGACCCTTCATAAAATTTCTAACACAGAGAATGCCAATAATAAATATAAAGTTTTGGCCTTAGCTAACAATGGTATGCATTCTATGTGCGCCATGTTTGCTGTTTTTCAAAAACAAAATGATTAAACTTGTTTCGGGCCTGGAGCTCTGAAATAAATTACAATGTCAAAATTCACACATAAATGAAAATAAATCTTAAATTAAGTACAGTTTGGATATGAATTGAAGTCGTCGTTATAGCAAAAAGGTTGATGAAAAACTGAGATTTGTTAGTTGTA